TAACAACTCTTGGGATGTATTCTTGCTGAAGAAATTTTTCAAAAAGGCAGCTGTATTGTGATCTTTTCTTTTTTGTCTGATGGTATCCTGAATACTATTGGAATACAATGTTTTGTTATTTTTTCTGACCAGTTATGCTGATAACACTTTGTATTATTGTACTCATTGTAAATAAAAAAAACAGTTTTTATATTTTAGACCAAAAAAAAGTAAAACCCTAATAACATCCTGTACAAGTCAAAGACAGATGGTATCTTGTTTGCTTAGGTCAATATCGTAAGTGAAAAGGAACGTTAGCTCTTTATATGATACCATGCCACGTATTATATTAGTGGTTTTCCATTATGTTTACCAGTAAAATTCCTTTTTCCCAAGCAAAATCTTACATAGAATCTTAACACCTTGGGCCAGGGTTGCTAAAGGAGTAAGGGGTTCCTTTCATCCTTTCCCAAGTGACTGAGAATCACCACTAAGTCACTGCCTCATTACCAAGCCCCAAATTAAATATTTTCAGGACCCATAAAGCATTCTAGAGATCATTTCATTTTGTAGATATTTATAGGATACCTACCATCTGCAAGGCACAATTCTAGGTGCTGAGTATACAGCAGTTAACAAAACACAAAATGTCCCTGACCTCCTGGAGGTTACTTCTTGTCAGGGGAGACTAATAAGAAACAAACAAGTAAATATATAGTGAAAGTGCTACAGAGAAACAATAAAATAGAGTAAAGGTGATAGGTAGTTTTTGAGTAAAGTATATAGAGTTGTCAGGCAAGGCTTTACTGATGAGGTAACGTTTAAGAGCAATCACAGTTGTTGAATTGCTATATGTTCTGCTCTGTATATTCTCAGCAACAACAAAAAATAAATCATATATAAAAAAAGAAATCTGAAGACAGTGTGGAATATGCAAATATCTGGAGGAGGACGTTTTATGCAGAGGAAATGGCAAGTGAAAAAACCATTAGATGTAAACGTGCCTGACATATTTGAAGAACAGCATGAACCTCCTGAGTCGGTGAAGGAGATGATTTAAGAGGAGAATGGGAAAAGGAGATGAGGGGTCAGATAGGTAACTTTATAGGCTTTGTCGGCCATCATAAGGACTTTTACTCTGAGATGAGGTGCTGTTTGAGGTTTTTGAATGGAGGAGCGATGTGATCTGACTTTAATTTTAACAGAATCACTCAGGAGGCAAGAATGGGAGGGAGACCAGTTAGGATGCTATTTCAGTAATCCATGTAAGAGCTGATAGTGCTTGAATTAGCCTGGCAGCAGTGGAGGTCCTGAGAAGTGATTGAATCCTCTGTATATTTTGAAATCTGTGCCAGCTGGATTTGCTCATGAATTAGATATGGGATATGTGAGAGAGGACAGTTGGATGACTCCAAGGCTTCTGTTCCCAGAGAATGCTTCATGTTGTGTGATAATTTGATCTGTCTCATTAAAATCTGTGTTCATTGAGGACAAGCTTACTTTTACCCTTATTTGCATATTCTGTGCCTGGGTCCATAGTAAATACTTGGTGAACTGGAAAGTTAATAAATTACCCTTATCTGAATCTTCTTTTGTTTTTCTCCATTGAGAATAATGCTCTAGTGGTACGTTTTCTTGTGTGCCCCTTACATTTCAATGCTAGGTATATACTGGCAATTTTTATTTTTCTCATTCCCCCTTTTGTTTCTAAGCTCCCTTCTTATTGACATATCTTTTACATATATATTTGTAGTGTGTGTGTATTCCTTTATTTGACTATAGTTAAGTATAATGTTGGCTTAAACATATTTTTTCTGTTATCACTGTATGTTAATTTTATTAGTAAAAGTCTGTGTTCTGGCAGTGCTTCATTATCTAAAAGCCTATATTACAAAGAAGTTATATCAATTATTGTACAACCACCAATAAATGGATACCTATTGTACTGTATTACATTTGTTCCATCTTTCAAGAATGAAAACAATTTTCATTGTTTTAATGAGTACTTATCTGTTCACTAATCAAAGGTTAAACTTTTTTTCATATGCTTACTAGTTTCTAATTTTATCAGTCTTCAGCAAACTTGTTTAAACTTTCAGTCAGTTTGGTTTTTTTTTTGTGTATGTATGTGTGTGTACCTACTACTGTGTATTGAGTACTGAGCTAGGTTCAAGGGATAGAGAACATCATGCTATAGAGAAGGATCAAATACATACAATATATGCCATAATAGAGATAGGTATGAATTTATATGGGATCTTGGGTGATAATATTAAGAACTCAATAAACTTAGTTACTATGTGCCAGGTACTGCTCTAAGTGTTTTTTTCTTATATTTACTCATTTAATCCTCACAACAACCCTGTGAAATAGGTACTATGATTATCCCAATTTTTACAAATAAAAAACTGAGGCACACAGAGTTTAATTCCTTGCCCTCAGTAAAAATGCTAGTAAATGGTGAAACTGGGACCAAACTCAGGAAGTCTGACTCCGAAGTCTGTGTTCTTAACTACTAACCTACACTGACTTTAGCAGTTTTTAAATGTTGGATTCATGGAGATATTAGAGATTGTTCATTTGCAGTACCACAGAAAGGTATATTGAAATACTTTTTAAAATACTCATATTTTCCATTAGTTTATCATTAGCATATTTACGTTAGTAATTATCCTGTTCAAGGAAATAATTAATGCAAATGTGACCCCAGCCTCTTACTTTTTTTCCCAACCATCTATCTTAAAGTCTTTTTTCCCTAGCTGGGTATGTCTTTTTTCCCCCAATTGAAGGAAATAAAAATAATGAATAAATAAAACGACTTTGTTTGGCATTACTGAATTTTCAGCAAGGAAATTCTAGCTTTTCAATATAATATATGAGTAAGTAATAAACATGAAAAAAAGCATATTTTAAACTAATGTACAGGCAGTGCCCAGGTTACAAACGTCCAACTTATGTACAACCCGTAGTTACAAACTGTTATAGTGGAACAAACCACACATCTGTTTAGATTTAAAAACAGTTTTATTATGGCAAGGAAAGTGTTCTGCAAAACAGGGAGACACAGTACTGGGAGAAATCCAGCAATGTGTCCCAGGGGTGCTACAGTAATACAAAGGCTTATGAAGAAAAAAACTGCAAGCAGCAGATTACAGCTAAAACAATTTTGATTGGTTAACATATACAAAACTGCAGATGGCGACGCCTTAGTTGACCATCCTGGCAGGTGTTGACATCTTTTGCAAGGATGGCTCCAGGTGACAAGATTCCGGCTGACCTCTAAAACCACGTTTCCTGGCACCTAGACATCTGTAGTCAATGTTAAATTGAGTTACATTAGCATTATGATGGGGAATTGTGTTGAAATATTTTAAAAGTTTTAGGATAATTACATCTAATGCTTAAGTAGGAAAAAAGGTTTTTGATACAGAAAAGCCATAACTTTGTAACATAGTTTTAAGAGGGGTTAGGTCCCCCTCAGGTTTAGGCTGAACAGGGTTATAAAAAAAATACAAGACTTCATAAGGACTTAGGCACAAGCTAGAAAAATATTTTTCAAGGGAGGGTGAAGGGGGCTTTTTCTGAGAATTGGCATAGTAGTTAGGCTACATGTTTAACACTTCTGTCTAACATCTGCATAGGTCTTGAATTATCTTTTTTATTATCGACTATTTTCTGACTGCAAGCACTTCCTCTATCGGCAAAACCACATCTAGGTAGGTCAGGGTACAGTGGAAGACTTTGCAAAAAAAATGACAAGCTGCATTATATGACAAAGAAGAACTCCAACATGGAGTCGCTTAGGACAAAAAACGATTGAGCTCAGACCCCAGCTGGAAGTCCCATTCACTCCAAGCGTTTTAGCTTTGGAAATGCTCTTCCTCAGAACCAACCTCGAAAAGCCTATTACATTAAAAATTTGAGGTACATACAATGGTTCGTAATAGCAAGTGGATGCTGCTTTGTGATGGGCATCAAAACGTTATTATTATTACTGTATTATTATGTTGGAGCCCCAGTGGAGCAGTGGTTAAGAGCTACAGCTGCTAACCAAAAGGTCAGCAGTTTGAATCCACCAGCTGCTCCTTGGAAACCCTATGGGGCAGTTCTGTTCTATCCTATAGGGTCCCTATGAGTCAGAACCGACTTGACAGCAACGGATTTGGGGTTGATTTTTTTTGTATTATTATGTTGAAGATGTTTTGGTGTATCTGAAAGTGTTTCTTTGATGTTTTTTATGCATAGAAAGATATACTGTATACTAAGACAAATATTTGACTGACATTAGATATGAATCACACCTAATTGTTCTGACTTATGTACAAATTCGACTTAAAGACATACTTAGAAATGGAACTCATTTGTAATCTGGGGACTGCCTGTACTAAATTTAAGTAGAGTTTGCTGAAAGATATAAATCTCAGTTTTGTCAACTTGTTTTTATGTTAAGACTCTAAGGCGTGATGATATGAATTTTACTTGAAGGGGAAATAGTAGTATTATGTTTATAATTACAGAATTGGGATGCCAATTTATGGCTAGGCCATAGAATAGTTTTTGACACATAGTAGGCATTCAGTATATATTTCTTCTGTGAATGAATAAAGGCATTCTGTGTCTCTGGTTTGTATCTGATCGTTATCAGGTTGTTAATAAGAAGGGAGGAAAGCTGATTGTTTACATATTTAGGTAGAAGCAACTTTATGAGCAAAATGCAATTTAGTCATATTCTGCTGACAGTTTTTAAGGATTCTTATCAAGGAAATCCTTAAGAAATAAATGTGTTCTTAGAAATTCACATGTAGATGCGGTTTTTTTTATGTCACTCAGTATCTATTTGAAGGAAATCTGTACTGAGTTTATTTGTAATACAGTTAATTATACCTTGATTTTTAAAAGTGTATGTTTCACTATGAAATAGAATATATGTAATCAGCTTTTAAGTAGTGAGCAAGGAGGAAAATCTACCATCGGCAGAACAATATATCAAATCCCTTTTTGTTTTCTTGTTAAATTTTTAGGTGAAGGAAAGTGGCTCCGAAACATTGACTATTACCGTTTAGATGGTTCTACTACTGCACAGTCAAGGAAGAAGTGGGCTGAAGAATTTAATGATGAAACTAATGTGAGGTAGGAAACATTTTCTGTATGTGTTGAGAGTTTTTAAAAATTCATTTAAATTTACATACAGTGAAATTCACTCTTTTTGATGTACATTTCTACAAGTTTTGACAATTGTAAGATATATAATCAAAATAAAAAATGGTTTCATCGCCCCTCCAAAAATTAACTCATCCCCTTTTGTAGTCACATCCTTTCCCCTCCTTCACCCCTGGCAAACACTCATATGTTCTCAATCCCTATAGTTGTGCTTTTTCTGCAATGTCCTATAAATGGAGTTGTATAATTTGTAGCCATTTGCGTCTAGCAATGTTGCGTATATCAATAGTTTATTTCTTTTAATTGCCTAGTATTATTCCATTGTGTGCATGTATTACAGTTTGTTTATCCATTCCCAGTTGAGAGACATTTGAGTTGTTCCCAATTCTTGGCGATTACAGTTGAAATGCCTCTAAACATTTGTGTAAAAGTTTTTGTGTGAGTATAGGTTCACAAATAAGAATCAACACAAAGCAAATCCCCAAAATGTGAAGAAGATTAATCAAATCCCCTCTTTCCTGTTTCTCAATCATCTCTGATACCAGCTGCCCACACGGTGCTGTCTGTCTGCCCCTAGCTCACAAGTTAAAAGACCACTGTCCTTCAGACTGTCATATAGGCAGACACCAACTGCAAACCCAGGAGTTCACATAACATCCTTACTTCTGACCTGCTGGCCACAAATTCGGAGTTTTCCCACTACCCCTTTGGGATGCCAGCCACAAGCTCAGGGCCTCCCCTTGGCTCCTTCACGTTGACCTGCTGGTTTCCACTACCCCTTTGGGTTCGATAATTCACTGGAATGGCTCACGAAACTCAAAGAAAGTACTATACTTTTTTACGACTGCAGATTTATTATAGCAAAAGGATATAAATCAGGATCATTATAAGGAAGAGCTGCACGGGTGAGGTCTGGGAAGATTCCCAACATGGAGCTTCCATATCCCAAAGAGGGCGCATTACCCTTCATTCACCAACCAGGAAGTTCCCGGAGCCTCTGTGTTCACAGCCTTTAATAGCTTCACCATGTAGTCATGATCAAGACCTCAATGAATATGCGTGATGGACTAAATCATGCCTCCTGAGGTTAGTTCATATCCAGCTACCAGGTGGTCTTTCTGGTCTGACCAGCCCCATCTCATTAGGATACATCCTCATGTGTAGTCTGGAGGTTTTAGATAATAAAGCCACCTCAGTTACTCAGGAAATTCCAGGGGTTACCTCTCCGGAAGCAAGGACAAAGACCAAATTGCTCTCTGTAAGGTGATTCATTACTTTACAATAGGTATTTACACAAGTGAAATGAAAATCCAGGAGTACAATTGCTGGGTCATCTGGTAAGTGTATGCTTAACTTTGTAAGAAACTACCAGTTTGTCAAAGTGACCATTGGATTTTGCATTCCCATTAGCAGTATATGAAAGCTCCAGTTACTGTGCATTCTTACCATCACTTGGTATTGTCATTTTGTTTTGTTTTTTTATTTTTACCATTCTGTGTATGTAGTGGTATCTTGTGGTTTTAAATTGCATTTTCATAATGGTAAATGATATTGAACATCTTTTCATGTTCTTATTGGCCATTTTTATATCTTATTTGGTGATGTATCAGAGAATTTTAAAGTTAAAAGAGTTTTTATGATCTCTTTATCTGTTACAGAAATTTGAATCATATCCTTTAAGCTGCAGTAGATATAGGGTGTGTTGTTGTTGTGTGTGTTGTTGATGTTGCTTTTAACTTAGTATTTTACAAGTCAAACTGCATTTGGAAAAGAAAAATTTATATACGTGTATACATGTATTAATATATACATACATATAGACGCACACATGTATGAAAGCATGCCCTTAGAGAATATGATAAAGGAGATGGTGTTAGTTCGATGAAAAGACAGCTGATGTATTCCTTAATAAATGTTTTAAATTATGAAGGGTATTAAACTGTATGTGTCAAATATGTTTTAATTCCAGCAGAGTCATGAACTACCTAGGTTTAAGGCTAGAGAAATTCTGGTTAGATCATAGAAAGAGTATATTCTATTAGGTATTTAAAACCTATAGAGTCTGGGAGAACTTGTATAACGATGGTTTGAGTATAGTACGTTTATAAAACTGTCTGATTATATAAATGTTAAAATAAATGATACATTTTTATATCCTGTTTGCCATGTTTTTTTTATTATTATTTGTTCACAAGTGTGAAGAAGTAATTTTATTGAGTAATCATAGTCTAATTTGTCAAACTTAATCTAAACCTTTGACTTAGTTTACCAAATTTATAAATAACACAGTAACATAATATCTGTCATATAACATTCATATTTGATGACCAATAGGGGAGAACATTGAAATGTGGTTGCTGAACTGTCAGATTGACTTACTCACTAGTAAATTACCCACTGCTGTGGAGTTGATTCTCACTCATAGTGATGGTATAGCACAGAGTAGAACTGCCCCATAGAGTTTCCAAGGCTGTAAACCTTTAGGGAAGTAGACTGCCACATCTTTCTCCTGCAGAGCAGCTGGTGGATTTGGACTACTTATCTTTGAGTTAGCAGCCACTTTAACCACTGTGTGCCAGGGTTCCTTCACTAGTAAATTAATCACCCGTGCCAGAAAGTGTCTCTGATTCAAATTCATGCTTTAGGCATATACTGTGTTTTTAAGCAAATAAAGCACACCTTCTGCTTTTGTTTGCCAACCACTACCCCCCCAGAGGTATTTTCTTAAGCATGCTTTGCTAATTTTTTAACAGTAACATGTAAATATGGAAATACATTATTTGTGTAAAAATACGGTATACATTTTACGGATTTGGGGAGTTACCCCTGAGTATCTGAATTTGTTCAGATTAAATTCACAAATGTTAGAGATTATGTCTGTATTCTAATTTTTCAGGATGCAATAATTTTGAGAGATTAGAATATAGATATCATCCTTGTTTATGCTAAAACAGTCTGGAAGACACATTAAGATAAACTTTTAGATAATGACCATATCTAAAGTTTTTTTCTGGTGTGGCTAGAAAGTAGTGTAGTTTTCAGTAGTCTCAGGTACCCCAGATAACTTGATACAGTTTCTTTTTTTAAACTTTTTATTTAGAAATAATAATAGATTCATAGGAACTTACAGAGATAGTACAGAAAGGTCCTTTGGACCTTTCACCAAGTTTTCCACAGTAGTTACATCTTACATAACTATAGTGTAATATCTAAACCAAGAAATTTACATTGGTTCAATGTGTGTATGTAGTTCTGTCATTTTATCACGTGTGGAAATTCGTGTAACCATTACTTCAATCAAGATACAAAATTACTCCATCATTACGAAGATCTTCCTCCTGGTACCCTTTGATAGTCACACCCATCATTACTACTAACTTCACACTATCCCTAAACCCTGACAACGACTAAATTGTTCTCCACCTTTATAATTGTGTCATGTTGTTCTTTGTGGTAGTTACCATTAAGTCAGTTTCGACTTATGATGACCTTATGTGTTACAGAGTAGAACTGCTCCATAGGGTTTTCTTGGCTATAATATTAACGAAAGCAGATTGCCAGGCCTATCTTCCACCTTACTGCTAGGCGTGTTCGAACCACCAACCTTAGGTTAGCAGTTCAGTGCAAACCGTTTGTGCCACCTAGGGACCTTAATTTGTCATAGACAGTTATATAAATGAGATCATACTGTATGTGTGTGTCAGGGTTGTAAACTTTCACCATACTTATTCAATCTGCATGGTGAGCAAATAATCCAAGAAGCTTGACTATATGAAGGAGAATACGGCATCAGGACTGGAAAAAGAGCCATTAGCAACCTGAGATATACAGATGATACAACCTTGCTTAATGAAAGGGAAGAAGACTTGAAGCACTTACTGATGAAGATCAAACATTACAGCCTTCAGTATGGATTATACCTGAACATAAAAGGAAACAAAAATCCTCACAACTGGACCAAATAAGCAACATCAAGATAAACAGAGACAGTCCTGATCCATGGACTTGGGACTTTCCAGCTTCTACAACCTTGTGAGCCATTTCCTTGATATAAACTCCACCTCAGCTCCCCCCTCTATATATATACATATGTACGTACATGTATAGACACTTCACTGGTTTCGCTTCTCTATAGAACTCACCCTAAGACACTTGGTACCGAGAGTGGTTCTATAGAAACAAAATTCTAAGAATGAGTTTTCTAAATTGATTCTGAAGTCTGGTTAGTATTAAAGATGTTGATGACTCTGCTTCCAGTAGTAAAGAGGGTACTATTAACCCATGGTGTGAAGTAGCAGTAGAAATATGCAATATATCACCACCAATAGATCAGGTATTGGTGAGAGGCGAGGGCTCTGGGTGATCACGTTCGATACGTTTCTACAATTTTGTCATAAAAGTATAAAGAAGCTGGTTGGTTGGTCCTAATTTCGCTAGACAGAGTGGTGAGAGAAAGAGATTAGTTCAGGACTTGAGTCAAAGCTGAAGTGCCGCATAAATGACTTCAAAGCTTTCGCTTGTGCCTTAAAATAAAGCCTTATTTCCTGTAGTAGAAGAGCTGATATTGCCTAAAACCAAACCCAGAGTCTTATCGTAATAGTGGGTGAACACCAACTGAGTTCCCAACCTTGAGTGGTGTCTTAAGTTAAAGTAAGGGCATTGATTGGGAAGAAATGGGATCCTGAAACTTGGGATGGGGACATATGGGCAGATAATCAGGAAGCTGGGGACGCTGAGCTTGTAAATTTTGTTAAATCACTCCTGCTAACAGAACCAGCCCTCTCACTCCCAACTGAAGAGATAACTCCATCTTTGTCTGCTAAGCCATCCTCCCCAGTAAAACTATGAACCCCTCCACCTCCATCTGATGAGATTAACCAAGCTGTGTCTGAAGAGCTTTTGTCCGAGTTATTTCCTGGGGCATCGCTTGAGGCAGATGCCTTACAAGACAATGCTGAATGTTCTCAAAA